TAAAATTACAGGCCAATATCCTTGATGAAAATAGATGAAAAAATCTTCAACAAAATACGAGAAAACCTAATGCGAGAGCACATTAAATGGGTTGTACACCATGATCAAGTGGTATTTATCCCTCAAATGCAAGAATGATTCAACATATGAAGATCAAGGTATGATACAGTATATTAGCAGAACAAAGGGAAAAATTCATATGATCATCTCAGTAGAGGCAGAAAAAGTATTTGACAAAATTTAACATCCTTTTATTATAAAAACTCTCAAAAACTTGGGTATAGAAGGGACATATCTAAAAATGATAAAGGCCTTATATGACAAACTGACAGTTAACATCCTACTCAATAGCGAAGGATTGGAAACTTTCCTTTTACATCAGGAGCAAGACAAGAGTGCTCATTCTCACCACTCTTATCAACATAGTACTGGATGTCCCGAACAATAGGCCAAGAAAAATAAATAAAAGGCATCTAAACCAGAGAGGAAGAAGTAAAATTGTCTGTTTGTAGATGACACGATCTTGTATATAGAAAATCCTAAAGATGCCATCAAAAAACTGTTAGAGCTAATAAATGAATTCAGTTGCAGGATACAAAATCAATATACAAAAATCAATTGCATTTCTGTACACTAACAATGAAATATCTCAAAGAGAAATTAAGAAAGCAATTCCATTTACAATTGCATCAAAACATTAAAATACATAGGAATAAATTTAACTAAGGAGTTGAAAAATCTGTATGCTGAAACTATAAGACATTTATGAAAGGAATTGACGAGGGACAGAGATAAATGGAAAGATCTCATGTTCTTAGATTGGAAGAGTTAATATTGTTAAAATGTCCATGCTACCCAAAGTGATCCACAGAGTCAAGAAAATTCCTATTGAAATTCCAATGGCATTTTTCACAGAAATAGAACAAACTACCTTAAAATTTGGATGGAAGCACAAAAGACTCCAAATAGCTAAAGCAATATTGAGCATGAAGAAGAAAGCTGGAGGCATCACACTCCCTGATTTCAAACTATATTAGAAACTATGGTAATAAAAACAGTATGGTACTAGCATAAAAACAGGCACATAGATCAATGGAACAGATTGAGAGCCCAACAATAAACCCATGCATATGTGGTCAACTAATCTTTGACAATGCATCCAAGAATATTCAATGGGGAAAGGATATTCTTTTTAATAAATGATGTTAGAAAGCTGGATGCACACATGCAAATGAAGGAAGCTGGACCACTATCTTAGACCATTCAGAAAAATTAACTCAAAATGGATTAAGGACTTAAATGTAGGACCTGAAGTTGTAAAATTCCTAGAAGAAAATGTAGGGAAAAAGCTCCTTGACATTGGTCTTGAAGAAGGAAATCCTGTCATTTGTGACAACATGGGTGAAACTGGAGGGCATTATGCAAAATGAAATAAGCTAGATAGAGAAAGACAAATACTATTTGGTATTACTTATAAGCAGAATTTTTTAAAAAGCTGAATTTGTAAAAAGAAAGACTATAATGGTGGTTGTGAGGGGCCGAGGGTAGGAAAATGGGGAGACGTATGTCAAATAGTACAAACTTTCAGTTATAAGATGAACGAGTTCTGAGGATAATGTACAACATGGTGATTATAGTTAATAATATGGCATTGAATACTTGAAATTTGCTGAGAGTAGATATTAAGCATTCTTATCACACACACACAAAAGATTTAACTATATTAGATGATGGATGTGTTAATTATCTTGATCTTGGTAATCACTTCATAATGTATAGATTTATGAAATCATCACATTGTGCACTTTAAATGTATATCATTATATTTGTCAATGATTCCTCATTAAACCTGGAAAAATAATAATAATAAAAAGATGAACAACCCCATTAAGGACTTGAATAGACATTTCTCTAAAGAAGATATACAAAGGTCACACAGGCACTGAAAAGATGCCTAACAACATTAGTCATTAGGGAAATGCGAATCAAAACCACAATGAAATACCACTTCATGCCCACTAGGCTGTCTAAGACAGAAAAAACAGACAATACATGTTTGCAAAGACGTAAAGTAATTGTAACACTCACACATTGCTGGTGGGCTTGTAAAATGGTATGATCACTTTAAAAAACTGTGTGTCACTTCCTCAAAATGTTACACATAGTTACCATTTGACCCAGCAATTTCACTCTTAGTTATATACACAAGAGAAATGAAAATATACGTCCACACAAAAATTTGTACATGATTGTTCATAGCAAATTATTCATAATAGACAAAAAGAGGAAACCAAATACCCATAAGCTGATGAATGTATAAACAAATGGTAGTTTATCCACACAATGGAATATTATTTAGCAATGAAAAGGAATGAAGCACTGATACATGCTACAACATACATGAAGCTTGAAAACGTTATGCTAAGTGAAAAGAAGCCATACACAAAAGACTACATGTTGTACTATCTCATTTATATGAGTTTTCCAGATTAGGAAACAGAAAGCAGATTAGTGTTGGCCTATGGCTGGGGAAGGGAAGGGTGGAGACTGACCATTACTCGATATAAGATTTCTTTTTGCAATGATGAAAACGTTCTAACACTAGATTGTGATGATGGTTGTACAGCTCTGAAAATACTAAAAAAATTTAATTGTATACATTACATAGGTGAATTTTATTTATTTATTTATTTATTTTTGTGAGGAAGATCAGCCCTGAGCTAACATCCATGCCAATCCTCCTCTTTTTGCTGAGGAAGCCCTGAGCTAACATCTATTGCCAGTCCTCCTCCTTTTTTTCTTCCCTTTTTCTCCCCAAAGCCCCAGTACATAGTTGTATGTCATAGTTGCACATCCTTGTAGTTGCTGTATGTGGGACGCGGCCTCAGCATGGCCGGACAAGCGGTGCATCGGTGCGCGCCCAGGATCTGAACCTGGGCCACCAGTAGCAGAGCATGTGCACTTAACCACTAAGCCATGGGGCTGGCCCCATAGGTGAATTTTATGATATTTGAATTATACCTCTATAAAGATGTTTTATAAAAGACATGATTAAGAGAATAAAATTACAAGCCATAGAGTGGGAGAATATATCTGCAAAGCATACAGCTGACAAAGAACTTGTATGCAAAACATACCAAAAATTCTGAATTATCAATAATTAGAATATATACATTAAATGGACAAAAGATTTGACCTGATAATTCACCCAAAGCAATTAAAAGATGATCAAACCTATTAGTAATTTGAGTAGTACAAATCAAATTTAAATCACATAACATACCACTACGCATGTTAGAATGGCTAAAATCCATAACTGACAATACCAAATGCTGGCCAGGGTGGGAAGGCAAGATGGTACAGCACTTTCAAAGGCAATTTCACAATTTCCTGTCAAGTTAAATACACACTTGCCATAAAAACCAGCACTCCTCCTCCTGGGTATTTACACAGTGAATAAATAACACGGTGTTGGATAAGTAACACAAGGTTTAACACGCATATATATCAGACCATACTCACGAAAATGAACGGTTTAATAAATAAATGGGGAAGAAGGGACAAAAATTCCTTACAGAATTCCAAATAATAAGTAGGTAGATACTCCCTGAAGGGGGAGCTTAAGTCCTTACCCCCTTGAATACGGACTGCACGTAGAGATTCAGTCTCAAAAATGGAGTATGGAAAGGGGAAAATAGTAACTTTAAAATGGAAGATCCTGATGTGTGATGTGTGATGAAGGTCAACACACCACCGAGAACGCGTGCTGATGTCATCTCTGCCCTGGTCTGACACACGCCATCTGTACAGTAACCATCCCCAATGCACAACTCCAATCCAGCCATAACAAAGCACCTGAGAAACTCAGATGGAGGGACATTGCACCAAATATCTGACCAATACACTTTGAAGCGTCAAGGTCATGAAAAAGTGGGAAGACTGAGAAACTGTCATGGATCAGAGGACACTAAGGAAACAGATGACTGAATGAAATGTGTCCTGGATGGAATCCTGGAACAGAAAAAAAATGACATTAGTGGAAAAATTGGTGAAATCCCAATGAAGTCTGGAGTTTGGTTAACAGTAATGCAGCAGTGTTAACTTCTTAGCGTTGACAGACTCACTGTGGTGACATGACGAGGAGCTGGTGGGTGGGGTTCTCTGTATTATTCTTGCATCTTCTCTGTAAACCTAAAAATCATTCCAAAATAAAAATGCATTTTAAAAAGCTAGACATGAGGCATAACCTCATATGTGTGTATATTGAATAGCAAGAGGTCAGATGATGCACAACAATTTGTTATCAATAATTACCTCCAGGGAGAGAGGTGGAAGAGAGAGGACGATAGGTGGATTTCACTAGTTACTCCTTGTAATTGTGTATTTTAAAAATCTTTTACACTGCAAATATATTTATAGATTACTTGTGGAAAACCATTAGAAACGAAATTATTTGAAAACCAAGATGGCCAGGTTTCATGATGGCTGTTTGTCCTGAGGGACAAACTTTTTGAATCTGCAAGAGAGAAATATCCCCTCCATATGCGGCGGCTACTGGAGAAAGTAAATTTCACCGTCTTCATGTAAATTCAGTAAGAGTTCACAAGAATATAATTTCTTGTTGATGACTCAGAAAATCAATCCCAAATAAATGAAACCCCAGGAGAGGCCAAAATATGGAACATATCCAAGCAACCCAGGAGAATAAAGTCCTGGATAAACAGGGTAATTTCCCCCGTAGAGTCTTGTTTTGGGCAAAATCCACTGCAGTGGAGGTAAACAATTCAGTTAATAGTGCTTAGGGACCGACCTCCTCTGTGGTTTCCTATTTGTCTCCAGGACCCTCTGGGCACTTGCTGTCGTCATATGATCTCAGAAATACTGCCTGCAGGTGGAAACCAAAATGCTCAAGTCTCCCAACATCAAGCCTCTCTCCAGAAGTAACCGGGAGCACTGCTACTTGGGAACACGATGTGCTGAGGAAAATCGAGAGTGTGGGCATGCGAGCTCAGGTAAATGAGAAAAAGATTGACCTGGCTTCCAACCATCACATCTGCTGGTTTGCCCTTGTCTGGATCGTATTTCCCCTTAATAGAGTCCTTTGTAGCAACTTGAGAAGCCAGGGGACAATATTTAGTTCAATTAACTGGGTGCAACTTTAAGAATATAGAACAGGGGCCAGCCTGGTGGTGCAGTGGTTAAGCTCGCGTGCTTGCTTCGGTGGCCCAGGGTTCGTGGGTTCGGATCCTGTGCGCGGACCTACACACCACTCATCAAGCCATGCTGTGGCATCCCATATACAGAAAATAGAGGAAAATGGGCACAGATGTTAGCGATGGCCAATCTTCCTCACCAAAAAAAAAAAAAAAAGGAACAAACATTAAGAACATTTTTACAGAATTAAATCTCCTCTTGGATCTGGCTCCTTCTTCAGCTCCCACTTCCTTGTCCCTAAGAGCTTTCCGTATCCTCTACCTGGAAATACTGTGATCAGCTGATGGGAAGACAGAATTATTGGGTCCTACAAGTAAATGAACCTAAAAACCTCAACGAAGCAGCGTTCACAGTAAGTCCTCAGTGTATCTTCACGTTTCGATAAGAATTACACATCACCGCTGGTGCGCCAGGAAACCTCTTGGTGGTGTTGGTTGGGAGAGTGGGAATCTCAGTGGACTGTTCATGTCCCAGTCAGTTTTCCTTTTGAAATTTGACCTTCACCCCACCCTTAACTGCATTCTCCTACCCTACAGGTTTGTTGTGGATTTATGTTTCCTTAATGCCTAAATACCATCTGAGCAATTAGTGACATGGCCATAAAACAATTCATTCCATGCTCCTAGCTGCTTAGAGTAGAACCTCCATTTCTCCTTCCATAAACTTGTGGGAGGGGTATCCTCCCTCTCGAGCATAGGCACAATCTACTCTCTCATTTACAGCTTACGGAATCTGATTCAGTTATTGTTTCTGGATTTATCCTGATGTGGTTCATATTGTGTTTCTATGACTAAACCTAAAGGAAAACAGAGCACTGACTATCCGCTCCTTCCTTGGTTGGTGTGTACTACTAAAGAAGATGACCTCCCAGGTTCCATTCGGGTGTGGGGAGAACAGGGGCATTTCGCTCTCTTCTACATCTACAGTTTCTTCCACGGATATATGTAACCAGAGCCACAGGCCAAGGCCCGCTAAGAGAAGAGCTCATGCGGTTGTTTGTTGCTTGTCTGGATATATCAAATGACCACATATGACCTCAAGGCATTCACCACAGTGAAATTAGTTTCTTTCTTTTCTTTATTTTTTTTTTTTGGTGAGGAAGATCAGCCCTGAGCTAACATCCGATGCCAATCCTCCTCTTTTCTGCTGAGGAAGATTGGCCTGGGCTAACATCTGTGCCCATCTTTCTCTACTTTATATGTGACGCCGCCACAGCATGGCTTGACAAGTGGCACGTCGGCACGCTCCCGGGATCTGAACCTGCGATCCCTGGGCCACGGAAGCAGAGTGCGTGCACTTAACTGCTTGCGCCACTGGGCCGGCCCCTGAAATTAGTTTCTGATCATAGGAAATCCATAGATCTTCATCATTGGAGCTTAACAGAACACATTAAACAGAAGACTAAGAATTAAATTATGGAATATCTGAAAACCCAGCATTAAGACCATGACATTGAGGATGGGGGTGCTAGGAGCTCTGAGGGACATCTTGTATTAATTGCTTCCAATTTCTTCTTCCCTCCCCATCCTTTTATGGTTCACTGTGGATGGTGTTTATGTCCGCACCACATTGATATTGGGCTTCTATGTGTGACTTGCTTTAGTTGGTGAAATGTGGTTGAAGGTGATAGTCAGTTCTGAGCTCAGGCCTATGGGGAATCTGCTTCCCCTTTTTGGCTTCTGCTGTCTTCCTTGAGAAGAGCAAGCTCCAGAATGAGAGATGTGTGGTGGAGTACATCTGCACCTGACTTGGCAGCCTAAAGCAAAAAGCCTTAGCTGACCCGCAGACGTGGCAGCAAGAAAATGCCTGTTTGCTGTCATAAGCCACTGAGGTGTGGAGTTATTCTTCACCTCAAATTATTACAGCAATGACTGACCGACAGAAAATACTTTGCAAGGGCCTTGTACCGTTTCCTTGACTTTGTTCTCCTTGCCTCTTCCTTTGGTTCCACCAGGTCAGTCTGAGCCACGAGGGAGGAAATGAGACACTAACAGCAGATTTTATTCTCTCAGGGCTCTTCCCCAATATGAAGTACGTCAGCATCCTTATCTACACCACCATCCTGATCTACCTTGCTGCAGTCGCTGGGAACTTGATTCTGCTCCTCCTGATATGGGTGGACCCGAGGCTGCACACCCCCATGTACTTTCTGCTCAGCCAGCTTTCTCTCGTAGACCTGGCCCTCATCAGCAGCACTGTTCCAAAGATGGTGATGAACTTTTTCTCTGGAAGGAAGAACATCACACGTCTGGCCTGCGGAACACAGATATTTTTCTTCTTCACTTTTGGGGGTGCTGAATGCATCCTCTTGACCCTCATGGCCTATGACCGATACGTGGCTGTCTGTAACCCCTTGAGGTATGCAGTCATCATGAACCACAGGGTCTGTCTGCAAATGGCCATATTGTCTTGGATTGCAGGCATTTTAGCTTCCACAGCCCACACATCCTATACCATGAATCTGCCTATCTGTCGCTCCAGAGAAATCCACCATTTCTTCTGTGAGATGCCAGCAATCATGAAGATCTCATGCAAAGACACTTCCACCTATGAGCTGGTGGTCTTTGTGATGGGCGTTGCATTTATCATCATCCCTTTTGGACTTATCATGGCTTCCTACACCTTCATCTTCCTCACTGTCGTTTGTATGAAACCCCTCCAAGGCCGGAACAAAGCTTTGGCCACCTGCTCCTCCCATCTTACAGTGGTAAGTTTTTATCTAGGACCATGTGTTTATATGTACATGATGCCTGGTTCCTCCCACAGCCCTGAGCAAGAGCAGGCTGTGTCTGTATTTTGCACTGTCCTCACACCCATGTTAAATCCACTCATCTACAGCCTGAGAAACAAGGATGTGGTGGGCGCTTTTCAGAAAGTCCTGAGGAAACGTCCAGTATCTAAACAGAACACAAAAATATCACAGTAGAAAACAACTGTTGAGAGGGTCAAAGAGCAAGGACTCCAGGAGCATCCACAATCGCGTTCTCCAGCGCGAGGAAATTTGCTGTAGCCCCGTGGGCAAACTGTCGTTGAATTCAACTGACAATATTAATTCAATAAATAACAGTTTGTTAAGAGATTTTTCTCAGTGTGTAAACATTTGTTTCCCAAATGGATCAGTTCAATTGCTATTCTTCAGACCAGTTCGCGAGCATAGACTAAGTTCCAATCATCTCTTTTTATACCTGAAATACTTAGACATTTCTCACTGCCCTTGAGTCTCAGTCCTGGTGGGTGTTATTGGTGATTCGGTTTCCATTGTTAGAAGCACCAACTTCCGGGAACAGACAGATGTGACTGGTATGTAAAAAAGAATGGATCTCGTCAGGGACAATTGTAGCATAACTTTGTTTCTCTCTTGAATACCCTGGCAAACTCAACATGTTGGCTCTATTCTCCCTACTTGTCTTGGGTAGAAACTTTCCTGGTCATCCTCAGATAAGCAAGAGTCCTAAGCTCAGGTAAAGTGCAAGAAGACTCTCCCTGTGGAGACTGACACACCTAGCTTTGAGTAAAAATATTGTCTGCCATGGGCAAGAGAAGTGCAGTTGGCTTTCCTCTAGACTTTACAAGCTCCCCAAGCCCTCACTGGCTCTGGCTTCAGATCCCTCGTCCAGGGAGTGCAGTTGTAACTCAAGATAGGGAGTAGAGATAAGGGCCTCAAAAAGCTACACCTACCTGCTGCCTATCTGGAGAAAGTACCCTCTGGCCATGGCAAATATTCACCAGACTCTCTGGAATCAGTGCATATTCAGAGCTGTATTTTTCTTCATGGGATACTTGTAAGCTCTTACAAGACACTGTTATTCATCTATAATAAATGTGTAAATAGGTCACCTTTGATGCAGAGAGATAAAAGTGATTGGAGTCTTTTTGGGTTTGGCAGTCTATGTAAAGTAGTTGTAAGATTCACCAAAGAATGGAACAGGTTGAACCATGAATAAGGGTGAAGTGACAAATAGAGATGAGCAAAGTTTCATAGTTGTTATATGAACATTAGAGAGGTGTTGGGTTGGACTCCTCAGGAGATCCATGCCTGCTGTGGACACACGAGCAAACACCAACGGCTGCCTCAGACCGGAGTGGATGATGCCTCCACTGCACGGAACATAAGGTGGAGACAGGAAGGCTGACTAGCTGCTGCGAAGACCAGGGCTGTGAGGGACATCCAGGCAAGGCTTGTCTCTGACATTGTGACAGTGCCGTCTAAAGCAATCCCACCTTTCATATGACAAAAGAGGATAAAGTCCTGTTGGAATTGTGAGTCCCAAAAGTAAGGCCCAGGTCAAGATTCTCCTGATGAAGAAGGATTTTCTTTAGTTTTTCTGTGACCAAGGAAATGGTTCTGATATCAGCCCATATGAATCCTGATGAAACTTAACGATTGAAATATATTGCAAAATCCATTGTCATCAATAGGCAGTTGTACCTCACAAAAAATTACAATTAAATTGTAGTATATATTATTTAACGTATGTCAGATCATCAAAAACCAAAAAGCACTCTAAAATCTACTGGTGGATATGACGTGTAGAAAACGGCAACTTTTGCTTTGCTAGTATAAATGTGTACTGTTATGGCCTTTTTGGAATGCAATTTATTAAAATTAAATATTGTTTCACATTCTTCTAAGGAATTCTCCTTTTGGGGATTTTCCAGAATAAATGAAAAAAAAAGTGTCAATACTTAACATACGTAAATACATGTTTATTGTGGAATTGTTAACTCAAAGACTGGCAACAACCAACAACCAGTGGTAATGGCTGAATAAATTGTGGTGTACCCACATCATGGATTGCATAGCTGTTATAAAGAATGAATGAAAACTATACCAGACAACTAGAAGGATCTCCAGAAGGAATTTTTGGGGAAGAACACAAGGGTTGGGGGGGAAACGTATATAATAAAAGTCTGTATTTTGGTAAAAAAATAACGACCCATAAGCTGCTATAGATGTGTACATTTGTGTGTGTGTGAGTGTACTCAACTATCTTTTTTCCAGATTTATTGAGATATAATTTACATACAACATTGTGTAAGGTTTAAGGTGCACAATACGATGATTTGATACATGTGTATATTGCAAAATGTTTATTGCAATAAGGTAAGTTAACACATCCTTCACTCACGTAATTATCATTTTGTCGTTGCTGTCATAGTAAGGACAGTAGAGCTTTACTCTCAAAGCGGCTTTCAGATATACCACACAGTACTGTTAACTAAAGTCGCCTCCTGTGCTGCAGATCCCCAGAACTTACTCAACTTACAGCTGAAAGTTTGTACACTTTGGCAAATACTGCCCATTTTCCCCACCCCTCAGCCCCTGACAACCACCATTCTACTCTAAGTTTCTATAAGTTTGGTGTTTTTAGGTTCCACATATATGTGAGCTCATTAAGTATTTGTCCTCATTTAGCATAATGTCTTCAAGGTCTATCTATGTTGTCACAAACGGCAGAATTTCCTTCTTTCTCATGGTTGAATAATATTCCATTGTGTGTCCATATTATATATATATATATATATAAACACTGTATCTTCTTTATCCATTCATCCATTGACAGACTCTTAGGCTGTTTCCATGTCTTGGCTATTGTGAATGATGCTGCAATGAACATGAGAGTGCAGGTGTCTTTGGAGATTATGATTTGATTTCCTTTGGATATATACCCAGAAGTGGGATTGCTAGATCCTATGGTATTTCTATTTTTAATTTTTTGAAGAACCTCCATACTGTTTTTCATAGTGGTTGTACCAATTTGCATTCCCAACAGTGCGCTAGGGTTCCCTTTTCTTTACAATCTCATCAGCACTTATTTCTTGTCTTTTTGATAATAGCCATCGTAACAGGTGTGAGGTGCTATCTCATTGTGGTTTTGATTTGCATTTCCCTGATGATGAGTGATGTTGAGAACCTTTTCATATACCTGTGGGCCATTTGTATGTCTTCTTTGGAAAAATGTCTATTCAGGTCCTTTGCCCACTTTTTGTTTGGGTTATTTATTTATTTTTATTTTTTGCTATTGAGTTATATTTGTTCATTGTATATTTTGGATATTAACCCCTTATCCAATATGAAGTTTGCAAATATTTTCTCCTATTCCATAGGTTGCCTTTTCAATTTGTTGATAGTTTCTTTTGCTGAGCAGAAGCTTTTTAGCTTGATGTAGTCCCATTGTTTATATTTGCTTTTGCTGCCTTTGTTTTTGGTGTCAAATCCAAAAAATAAGTGCCAAGATGAATGTCAAGGAGCTTACCTCCTGTTTTCTTCTGGGAGTTTTATGGTTTCAGGTCTTATGTTCAAGTCTTTAATCCATTTTGAGTTGATTTCTGTGTATGGTGAAAGAGAGGTGTCCAGTTTCATTCTTCTGCATGTGGCAATCCAGTATTCTCAACGTCATATATTGAAGAGACTGTTCTTTGCCCGTTATATATTATCGGCTCTTTTGTTGAAAATTAATTGACCATTTATGCATGGGTTTATTTCTTGGTGCTTGATTCTGTTCCATTGATCTATGTGTCTGTATTTATGCCAATACCATACTGTTTTGATTACTATAGCTTTGTAATATAGTTTGAAATCAGGCAGTGTGATGCCTGCAGCTTTGTTCTCTCTCAAGATTGCCTCAGCTGTTCGAGGTCTTTTGTGGTTCCATACAAATTTTAGAATTGTTGGTTCTATTTCTGTGAAAAATGCTGTTGGAATTTTGATAGGCATTGCATTGAATCCATAGATCGCTTAGAGTGTTATGGAAATTTTAACAATATTAATTCTCTTATCCATGAGCACGATATATATTTCCATTTGTGTCTTCCTCAATTTCTTTCTTTAGTGTCTTAGTTTTCAACATATAGCTCTTTCACCTTCTTGGTCAAATTTATTCCTAAGCATTTTATTCTTTTTGATGCTAATGTAAATGAGATTGTTTTCTTAATTTCTCTTTCTAAAGTTTGCTGTTAGTGTATAGAAATGCAACTTGTTTTTGTATGTTGATTTTGTATCCTGCAGCTTTACCGAATTCTTTTACTGATTCTAACAGGATTTTGGTGTAGTCTTCAGGGTTTTTCTATATATAGAAACAGAGACAATTTTACTCTTCCTTTCTGATTTGATGGCTTTTATCTCTTTTTCTTGCCTAATTGCTCTGGCCAGGACTTCCTGAACTATGCTGAATAAAAGTGGTGAGAGTGTCATCCTTTCTTGTTCCTGATCTTAGAGGAAAAGCTTTCAGCTTTTCACCATTGAATGTGTCAGCTGTGGGCTTGTCATGTACGGCTTGTATTATGTTGAGATATGTTTCCTCTATACTCACTTTATTCAGAGTTTTTATCATAAATGGATGTTGAATTTTGTCAAATGCTTTTTCTGCATCTATTGAGATGATCATATGATTCTTATCTTTCATTCTGTTAATGTGATGTATTACACTTATTCATTTGCAGATGGCGAACCATCCTTGCGTCCTAAGGACAGATCACACTTGGTCATGATGGATGTATTTAAGGTGTTGTTGAATTCAGTTTGCTAATATTTTGTTGAGAATTTTTGCATGTATATTCATCAGGGATACTGGTGTATAGTTTTCTTTTCTTGGGGTGTCCTTATCTGCCTTTGGTATCAGTAAAATACTGGTCTCATAAAATAAGTTTGGAAGTGTTCCCTCTTCTTCAATTTTTTAGGAAAAGTTTGAGAAGGATTGGTATTAATTATTCTTTAAGTGTGTATAAAATTCACCAGTGATCCTGATGAACATAGATGCAAAAGTCCTCAACAAAATATTAGCAAACCAAGTTCAACAATACATTAAAAGGATCATATGCCATGATCAAGGGGGGTTTATCTTAGGGATGCAAAGATGATTCAATATCCTCAAATCAATCAACATGATACACCACATTAGTAAAATGAAGGACAAAAATAAAAAA